CCATAGACTACATGTCCACAAATGGGCCTGGGTGCATGATAGTGAAATTTTATTTTAGGAGACTGAAATTTGAATTTCATGTAATTTTCTTGTGTCACAAAATAATTTTTTCTTTATTTTTAACCATTAAAAATGCAAAAAACGCCCTGACTGGTTTGGCTCAGTGGACAGAGCGTCGGCCTGCGGACTGAAAGGTCCCAGGTTCGATTCCGGTCAAGGGCATGTACCTTGGTTGCAGGCACATCCCCAGTAGGGAGTGTGCAGGAGGCAGCTGATCGATGTCTCTCTCTCATCGACGTTTCTGACTCTCTATCCTTCTCCCTTCCTCTCTGTAAAAAATCAATAAAATATTTAAAAAAAAATGCAAAAAACTGCTCTTTGGTCTCAGGTATAGCTTATCAATGGGGCATCAATGATAATAAATGTTTGTTTGACACTTACTAGGTATCAGGTATTAAATGCTTAAATTCAGTGGTCTATATAGCTCAGTTAACACCTAGAGTAGATCGTTTTTTTAAAATATATTTTATTGATATTTTTACAGAGAGGAAGGGAGAGGGATAGAGAGTTAGATCGATGAGAGAGAAACATCGATCAGCTGCCTCCTGCACAGCCCAACTGGGGATGTTGCCTGCAACCAAGGTACATACCCTTGACCGGAATTGAACCTGGGACCTTTCAGTCCGCAGGCTGATGCTCTATCCACTGAGCCAAACCAGATAGGGCTAAAGTAGATCTTTTTTAACATCCACTCCTCTGTAAGATAGGAAGTTTTAGTGATGATTATGAAAAGCAATACATAATTATTGCCAGAAAAGAAATAGAGTGAATTAAATTTTTCTTTTACTGAACATCACATATAATCATGCCAGTAACATGCATAAATAGATTTCACTGACCAATCAAGGGGGAAAGTAATGAATGAATACTGTTTAATTCTACTAATTAATTAAAAAGAATTTTTTTTTTCTGCAAAAAGCTTTAGTGTTTCCATTTGGTCCAAAGCAAGGGAGAGGGCTTCAGGGTGGTTAAAAGAATGGCTAGTGGTTTTGGGGAGAGGCTCAGACAAAAACCAGACACCAGGGGAATGCAGAGGGGCCTCTCAAAGGCCTCTGGGCTCCAGAGGCTCCTAGTCATGCTGGAGGGTGAGCCTTTCGAAGAGATGCTTGCCCAGCCCAGCCCCGGGGCCGGCCAGCCTGCGGAGGTCTGTCAAGTGGTCGCCCATCTTCTTGATGAGTTTCACCTCCTCATCCAGGAAGTGGTTCTGCAGGAAGTCACAGAGATGAGGGAGGGTTTGTGTGGCAGCACCCAGGGCCTGCAGCTCCCAAAGGGCCTGGTTCAGGCTCCTCTCCAAGGCCAGGGTAGCCTCCAGGGCATCCTGAGTTTCGCCCACTCATCCTGGGCGCCTTCAGCATGTCCTGGAGGAGAATGCGGCCGCCAGGCTGGTTTTGTATCTTTAAGATGCTCGGAGCCAACTCCAGGAAGAAGTGGCCCACGCCCTCCGGAGCCACATCCTTGTGGTCAAAATAGAAGCCCAGAGAGCGGTCGGTGTAGGAGGCCCACGGAGCAGGGCGGCCAGGCGGCTAGCGGCAGCCTCCACCTCGGTGGGATGATTCTGACGAATTTGGGGGCTCACGGTTGTTCGGCAATGAGTTAAGGGAGAACAGAAGAGTGTGTTGGCTTACCTCGGAGGTGGTTCTGAAGGTGGCGACTGGAAGAGGCGATGGAGGGTGGTCGGAGGCTGGAAGGAGAGGCGTCCCTAGGTCTGTTCCGTCCAAACACTGTTGAAGCAAGAGACAGATCCAGGACTGCCGAGGGCACTGTCTCTGAATTATTTTTTAAAACATTTTTTATTAATTTTAGAGAGAGGAAGGAAGAGAGAGAAACATTGATATAAGAAAGATGGATTGGTTGCCTTCTGCACACGCCCCAACTGGAGATTGAACCCACAACCTGGGTGTGTGCCCTGACCAGGAATCAAACCCTTGATCTTTCAGGATATGGGACAACGCTCCAACCAACTAAGCCACACCAACCAGGGCTCCATTAATTAATATTTTTAGAGCAAAAACTTGTCTTTACATACTAGCCTGTTACAGTAATGAATAATAACATGACAATTTAATAAATAATCAAATAACAGTTTAAAGAAGACATTTCCATTTAAAAGATATGGCTCAGCCCTGGCCTCTGCAGCTCAGTTGGTTGAGTGTCATCCCATGCACTGAAAGGTCACATGTTCGATTCCTGGTCAGGGCACATGCCCAGGTTTTGGGTTCGGTTCCTGGTCAGAGTGCATGCAAGGGACAGTCAATAGATGTTTCTCTCTCACATGATGTTTCTCTCTCTCCTCCCCCCTTTTTCTAAAATTAATAAAACATTTAAAAATAAAAGATGTGGCTCAAATTCAGGAAAGATATTTTGGGTTTGAATTAAGATGTGAGCTTACCAAATAAAATGATATAATTTACAGTTTGGCTCACTGTTTAAAATTTTAAATAACAGCCAAAACCGGTTTGGCTCAGTGGATAGAGCGTCAGCCTGCGGACTGGGAGGTCCCGGGTTCGATTCCGGTCAAGGGCATGTACCTGGGTTGCGGGCACATCCCCGGTGGGGGATGTGCAGGAGGCGGCTGATCGATGTTTCTCTCTCATCGATGTTTCTAACTCTATCTCTCTCCCTTCCTCTCTGTGAAAAATCAATAAAATATATTAAAAAAAGTTTAAATAACAATACAGATGGACTCTTCAAGTGATCAGACAGAATAAAGGAAGTGAAATTGCTCAAACTCAATTTTCTTTTCTTGTTTTAATTTATTTTATTGATTTTTTTTACAGAGAGGAAGGGAGAGGGATAGAGAGTTAGAAACATTGATGAGACAGAAACATGGATCAGCTGCCTCCTGCACACTCCCCACTGGGGATGTGCCCGCAACCAACGTACATGCCCTTGACCGGAATCGAACCCGGGACCTTTGAGTCCGCAGGCCGACGCTCTAGCCACTGAGCCAAACCGGCTAGACCTAATAACATTGTTTCTTTTCCCTTGCCCCTGTTTTTTAGGTACCTGGTGCTGTTCTTTTAGTTTACCCTAGAGTTACAATGTTTCCTTTAAAGATAAATTTATTGAAAGGTTGGTCCAATCTTCAGCTTTATCATCAACTTCACTTTATTTCTTTGATACATTTATTGTAGAAAACCACTTTATAATGGTAAATTGAGACCAGTGTCAGAGACCCCAAATAGAAGGGAGCTGTAAAAAGACATGCAATGTGAAAACAAATGTTATCAAGTTCTGCTGAGGGCTGTCCTGTTCCGGGCGGTGACCTCTCTTACATCCTCTAACCCGGAGATTCTGGCAGAGATTAGAGGCCTTCTGCCGGGCCTGACGGACATTCCGGCTGAGAAACCTCAGGGGGAAGAACCAAGGCTGGGTGCTTCCTTAGCTCTGCGGGGCCAGCCTCGCTCACCTGGGGCGGAGGGCCTCCCCACACATGCACACAGCCTGGCCCATGACTCAGTCGAACACCATCCTGATCAGATTTTCCCTGGGATTAAACATTAATCCCATGTTCGACCTTCTTATAATCTTTAGATCAATGGTCACATTTTACAGACAGGAAAACGGAGGCTCAGAGGGGAGAGGTGACTCCGTGGTGTCACAGCCAGTGTGTGGCTGAGCTGGGGACAGGCTGTTGGTTTCTTGGCGCCCAGTCCAGAAAGTAATTCTGCACAAGATAGGAAATTTATGAACTGATTTGAGACAAGGCGGACATTTGAACTTGGCCTCGAGCAGGCCCATTTCTCTTGGGATCTACTGTGCACGTTGAGCGTGGGGTTCATTCCACAGGTCTATTGAAGCCGCTTGGCTGGTGTGGGATCCTTCTCAGGGCTGGGGGGGGGCACAGCAGTGACCAAAACAGACCGGTTCCTGCTCCCTGGTGTAAACAGATAACATAGGCACGTAAACAGAGCCCCTAGAAGGTGTATGCAAGAGTGACTGGGGCTGGGGTGACTTTGGCTGGGGTGCTAAGGGCCGCTTCCTAGGGAGGTGACCACTGAGCCAACACCCCACCCCAAACTCATATGTTGAAATCCTAACCCCCAGGACCACAGAATATGACAGTATTTGGAAATAGCATCTTAACAGATGTGATCAGTTAAAATGAGGTCAATAAGGTGAGCCCTGACCCATGTGACTGGTGTCCTTATATAAGAAGAGGACATTTGGACACAGAGACACGGGAGAAGACAGCATGTACAAGAAGGAGAGAGGTATCAGGAGGAACCAGCCCTGCCCACACCTTGATCTTGGACTTCCAACCTCCAGGACTGGGAGATAAAACATTTCTGTTGTTTCAGCCGCTCAGTGGGTGTCACTTTGTTTCAGCAGCCGGGACGCACTCAGTGCCTGGAGGCCCAGAGATGCCTCCCACCCCGCTCTCTGGGCTGGTGCGGGGCGGGGGTGGGAGATGCGGGGTAGGGATGGGAGATGCGTGGGGGGCCGGCCGTGTTTGCTGGTCCAGGCTCAAGGCCTTCATGGGGCACTGCCCCAGGCACCACTCCTTCTCCTTAAGCTGGGGGACCACCTTCCTGTGTGAAGCTAAGAGTGAGCCCTGAGCACTGACCGGTTTGGCTCAGTGGATAGAGCGTCGGCCTGCGGACTGAAGGGTCCCAGGTTCGATTCCAGTCAAGGGCATGTACCTTGGTTGTGGGCACATCCCCAGTAGGGAGTGTGCAAGAGGCAGCTGATCGATGTTTCTCTCTCATCCAAGTGGATTGGTGTCCTTATAATAAAAGGAAGAGTTACCAGGGATGCATGTGCACAAAGAAAAAGCCATGTGTTGACACAGCAGGAAGGTGAACATCTATCTGTAAGCCAAGAATACAGCTCTTGGAAGAAACCACAACTGCCCACACCTTGATCTTGGACTTCCAACCTCCAGGACTGGGAGATAAAACATTTCTGTTGTTTCAGCCGCTCAGTCGGTGTCACTTTGTTTTAGCAGCCGGGACTCACTCAGTCCCTGGAGGCCCAGAGATGCCTCCCACCTGGCACTCTGGGGTCCTTCCCAGGGCCCCAGGTTGGAACGGGAGGAGACACCCTCTCTGTTCCTCCCCCACAACCGGAAGGAAGCTGGGAGGACCACACCTGACGCCAGCAGAGCCCTCCTCTGGCTGGTGAGAGGTCCGCTTCGACCTTGGACCCACCAGCCATAAAGCAATCACCAGGATGAGATGGTGGCTAGACATGGAGGGAGGGTGGGGGTG